CATAGAGCCTGCAAATAAAATTTGGTCAAAATCGGTGCAGTAGTTTTTGAGTTTTGCGATAACGAACATACACGTAATTTGTATATATATTTTTAATATGCAACACATTTAATATATACGCAATACATTAAGAGTAATGAAGTTATATATTCTAGTGAGCTTAATGAATATTAAATATTGTCCTTAGTTCTAATACACTTTCACGATTAGTTATGCTTTTCTATGTGTTTTCTATTAAACATATAAAAAATTATAGTTATTTATATTAATATAATACATTTTTTTAAACTTAACCATCTACTCATCTCATATTTGAGGAAGGCATAATTAGACTTTTTATTTTCGAGAATGAAATATATCGGCTCGCATTTAGGCCTAGCCCCCATATAATGGGGGAAACTTCCCGATTATTTGTTCAAGACCAATATGGATATATGGTTAGATTTTTAATTTGTATGTTGTCGGGGACCAAACTGCGGGGATCTTTTAAAATATTATGTGTAGAATCTACAGAGCTACACACATAGAGAATTTAAATATTATTTATAGCACGAATATAACTTCTAGGCGATTGGTACTAGCATCAATAGAGCTTAGAGCGTGGATTTAAAAAAAACCAGTAAGGAAAGTAGTAAAGTTGGGCTGGGCCGACTATATGATACCCTTCACCACTTTGGGTATATTCCACATATGTATCCAGCTTAGCAACATCATTTTAGACATAATTCAGTACTTCAGTAGTGTTGGCGGTTTATTTGGGATACCATTTGTATTTTGTTTTTATAAAAAATAACTATTTATTAATGGGGAATGTATGGCATTGATTGCCGAGGGGTAAGGCAGGGAAGACTATAGTTTCGGATCACGCCACTGATCCTCATCAGTTCCCTTAGATTTTTGTTGGGATATTCTCCCCAGAAGCTATTGCTTCTATACAAAAAACCTTTCAAACCCAAATGTCTCTTGTAACAACGCGAAGTACTTAGCTGACCAACGTACCCTATACCAAAATTCGTGCAAATCGAAAGATATATAGGGACTTTGGTGCACCAATTACATGAAATCGGACGAAAATATATATGGGAGCTATATCTAAATCTGAACCGATTTTCACGAAACTTTGCAACATCATTCTAGACTTAATTCAGTACGCTATGCCAAAATTCGTGCAAATGAAAAGATTTCCAGGGACTTTGGTGCACCAATTACCTACAATCGGGTGAAAATATATATGGGAGCTATATCTAAATCTGAACCGATTTTCATGAAACTTAGCACAAATTATTACAGACCCAAATGTCAGTACGCTGTGCCCAATTTCGTGCAAATCGAAAGATATATAGGGTCTTTGGTACACCAATTACCTACAATCGGGTGAAAATATATATGGGAGCTATATCCAAATCTGGACCGATTGTCACGAAACTTTGCACACATCATTCTAGACTTAATTCAGTACGCTATACCAAAAGATTTCCAGGGACTTTAGTGGACTATTTACCTAAAATCGGGCGAAGCTATATATGGGAGCTAAATCTAAATTTGTACTGATTAACGGACGAAAATATATATGGAAGCTATATCTGAATCTGAACCGATTTTCACGAAACTTAGCATACATCATTCTAGACCTTATTCATTACGCTGTGCCAAATTCCGTGCAAATCGAAAGATATATAGGGACTTTGGTACACAATTTACCTTAAATAGGACGAAGATATATATGAGAGCTATATCTAAATCTGAACCGATTTTCACGAAACTTGGCATACATAATTCTAGACCTTATTCATTACGCTGTGCCAAATTTCGTGCAAATCGAAAGATATATAGGGACTTTGGTACACAATTTACCTTAAATCGGACGAAAATATATATGGAAGCTATATCTGAATCTGAACCGATTTTCACGAAACTTAGCATACATCATTCTAGACCTTATTCATTACGCTGTGCCAAATTTCGTGCAAATCGAAAGATATATAGGGACTTTGGTACACAATTTACCTTAAATAGGACGAAGATATATATGGGAGCTATATCTAAATCTGAACCGATTTTCACGAAACTTTGCACACATCATTCTAGACCTTATTCATTACGCTGTGCCAATTTTCGTGCAAATCGAAAGACCTTGGTGCCCCATTTACCCTAAATCGGACGAAAATATATATGGGAGCTACATCTTAATCTGAACCGATTTTTCCCAATTTCAATAGGATTCTTTCTTGGGCCAAACAAAGGAGCTGTGCCAAATTTCATCCAATTCGGATCATAAATGCGACCTGTACTTTGTTTACAATTTAACATCTACAGACGGACAGACGGACGGACATGCATAAATCGACTAGAACGAGATTCTATGCATATTCTCAAAAGGAACCATGTGTCTATCTCGTTTCCTTTTGCCTGTTACAAACATACGCACAAAGACATAATACCCTGTACACAGTGTGGTGGAGGGTATAAAAACGACTAAAAAAAGATTATTAAAAAAATGAACAGATAGTTATATCAGTTTATTTTTTTTAGATTAACCTTTCAACAATCAATACAATTATAGGTGTATATTTTAATTACAAATTTCCGTGTTTTATTAATTTGTTAATTATACACGTTTCATTATACAGTGGTTTGTGGAACCCGGATGTTGGAGGGTCTCTCAACGATATACAACGTATATACTCCCAGCGGTCATTTGGTGGAACCGTCCCTTTATAGATATGGTATACCTGTAGGCAGTAAAATTGAAGTTCTTTGTGCCTCTGGATATAGACGCAAACGAACATCTAGATTCGAATCGAGCAGTAACCGTCAAATTTTGAAATGCCTATCAGATGGTACATTCGATCAGGAACGAAAACCTTGTGAACAATTATATAATTAAACGTCTATTCATTAGCCTTGTTCGACCCACATTGGAATACGGCTGTGTACTTTGGAGCCCATTTTATAAAAAATTCTAATTTCCCATTTTATAAAAAATATTCTAATAAAATAGTATCGGTTCAAACCCAGTTTCTTTTATTTGCTCTTAGGGGTCAACCTTGGAATCCATTTGAAGCACTTCCAACGTACGTTAACCGTCTGAAACTGATTGATCTTCCAGCTCTAGCAAGAAGGCGATTAATGCTTAGAGCAATATTTATAATAAAATTGTTACGTGGACAAATTGACTCAAACTTTTTAACCGGTGAAATAAAATTTAATTCCCTCCCGTAGAACAAGTAATTATTTACCTCTTAACTTATCCCTAGTTAGACATAATTATGAACTAACTAATCCACTTCGCGCTTTATGTGAAATTTATAATAATTTATATAACAGAGTATCATTTTCTGACGCCATTCATGTAATAAAAGAACTCTTATCCTTATGAGCTATCCAAAATAGATCAAATATATATGCCTTTTTTACAAAGTCAAGATGTTGCTAAAAATTTACGTACTCTAAAACCAATTAAACTTCCAGGTCCAGATGGTATACCTAGCATAATTCTCAAATATTGTTCTAACACTTTAGCAACGCCTCTTACGTTGCTATTTAATCATTCCTTAAATTTTGGTTATTTTCCCACTATATGGAAGAAATCTTTTATAGTACCGTTGCACAAGTCTGGTAGTCTATCAAACGTCTCAAACTACAGAGGAATTGCAAAATTAAGTGATATCCCAAAATTGTTTGAAAAATTAATTACTGCTGTTATTTCTCACAAAATTAAATCCATTTTAAGTCCATATCAACATGGCTTTCGTAGTGGTCTTTCAACTATAACAAATCTTATAGAGTTTACTTCAATTGTAATAAAGGGATTTGTTCAGCGAAATCAAACTGATACCATTTATACAGATTTTAGTAAAGCTTTTGATAGGGTTAACCATGAACTCTTATTATATAAATTAGATAATATGGGTTTCAGTATAAACTTAGTCAAATGGATATCATCTTACTTACAAAATAGATCACAGCTAGTTTTGTTTGAAGGATGTCTCTCAAAATCGATTAACGTACCTTCAGGTGTTCCACAAGGAAGTCACCTCGGACCGGTTCTTTTTCTATTGTTTATAAATGATTTGCCAACTTCTGTAGTACATTCTAAATTGTTAATGTATGCAGATGATGTCAAGTTATTCATTACCCATAATTCTGAGAAACAATCCATTTTACTCCAAAATGATTTAAATAACCTTTTTCAGTGGTGCAGATTAAATTGTATGGATTTAAATTTGAACAAATGTAAACATATGTGTTTTTCTATTCTAGAAATTCTTCATTGGCGAGGCAATACAATATTAACGGTTCGGTTTTATCAACAGTTGAAACATTCGTGGATCTTGGTATTTTAATGGATCCAAAGTTAAACTTTAACAATCATGTTATTTCTATGGTAAATAAAGCATATGGTGTATTAAGTTTTATAAAACGTTGGGCCAAAGAATTCTCGGATCCTTATATAACAAAACAACTATACACGTCTCTTGTTAGACCTATATTAGAATATGGTTCTGTTGTATGGGATCCTCAATATGCAATATTATCAACTATTACATGTAGATTTTCATCGCACAAATTATTCTATGGGACATCCACTCAGTAAAATTTGTATTGATTTTAATTCTCTAACGTAGATTTTAGCAAGAATGTTGAATTTATAAAATCTAATATAGTTGTATTTTTAAATGAGTAGTGCAACTTAATAATAAACTGGCTGTTGGAGTAGATTCTGTAGCTGGTTTTCTATTCCCTTCTCACATTCCACCATGATGCGGATTATGGTGTGTACGCGATCCCTACGAAAGGGGAGATCGCCCCCTCGGTCGGCAGGGGTGGGAAAGTGAGGCGTGGGAACGTTCGAAAAAAAAGTTGGTTGAGAATAAATTACAGTTTATATGTGGTGGTTCAATAATCTCACCACGAGTTCTTATATCAGGTATGTTCAAATTTTTTATCATTTAATTGTTATCGAAACATTTTTTATATATTTTGTCCTTTTCTTGTAGCTGCTCATTGTTTTTGGAATAACAAATTGAAGCGATTGGAACATCCGGATAAATTTAAATTCGTTGCTGAGACGGAAAGGAAATCATTTGACGACATTCAGGAAAATCAAGTTCAAATGAGAAAGGCCGTAATGTTTATCGCGTCTGCAGAGTAAGCAAAATATATATATTTTTTTAGAATCGGTTGCTAGAAATTAATTTTTATTTGTTTGAGAAACAGCATTGGGAAACGTTCGCGCTTTCTTAACATTCCCGTATTTTTATTTGGTTTAATTCAAATTTAATACAGTCCACAAAATTATAACACCGATTACCACGGGATGGTATTTATGGCCGACGTTTTATATTATATCATAATGCGGACATTATTCGAGTTCGGTATTGACAATAGATTTCTTCAGCTAATACTCTGCATATTTTCTGCATTTTTACTTCCTACTCGACTGTATTGAAGATGTATTTTCATATAGAATATCTCTAAATATTCGTCGGACATACCATTTTAAATTTAAATTTTAATATTAATATTACATTTTTTGCAGTTTCCAAGGTATACGAACTAAAAATTTCGCAGATATTGCCATCATCAAATTCATTTATAATGAAAATGTATCAGCGATATGTTTTAAACATTATACAAGAACCGCCAGTGATATTGTACCAACAAACATTACCGGCATTGTAACCGGTTACAATGAATTAAATAATAAATTTGAACGAGTATCTATGACCACCCAAGGATACTATGAATGCATCCAAGAAAAATCTATAGGCGAAACTTTGTCCGAGGATAAACTCTGCCTGCACAATGATTACAGTGAGGGCATTTGTCGTGGTGACAGTGGTGGAGCATTTGCTCAGAAACTAAGAGTCGATATTCCAAAACGAGAGGAGCTATTCTATTTATTGGGCATTATTAGTTCCACTCCGGGAACAGAAAATGAATGCAAGCGCTCTGGTTACGTGCCAGTGACAAATCCCAAATTCATGCGTTCGGATTTGTATGAAATATTCTCCAAAGAAATTAGTAATGATCAACAACTCTTTCAGAATGATTAATAATTCCAAATAGAGAAAGTATATATTTTTCTAAACAGCACACAAGACTTATTTGCACTTATTTGAAGTTATATAAAAAATAAAAATAAAAATCCATATTATCAATTGCATTTATCATTATTTTATGTTTACAATTTAACACGGACAGACATGCATAAATCGACTTAAAAAGTGATTCTATGCATATTTTCAAAAGGAACCATGTAAATTCTAATTGATTTAAAGTAAAGTTTACACCCGTCATCTGACACGCTGCAACACAGCTCGCTGTCTAAAATGGCATCTGAATGTGACAAAAGTTTTCGAGGCATTTTTTTAAGGAAATCGGACGAAAACATATGTATGAGTTCTGATTACATCTGAACCAATTTCAACAAAACTCAATAAATGTGATTATACCCTGCACCACAAGGGGGAGTGTCTATGAAATCTGTTATTCCGTTTGCAACACCTCAAAGTATTCACCTGAGAACCTATGAAGTATATAGATTATCTGTCTGTCTGTTGAAATCACAATAGAGCTCGCAATATTCAATATGCACCTACATTGCTATTATCACTGGGTTAAGAATCTTCCTACTAAAAATTACGAATATTGGTTCATTATTTAGAGTAGCCCTCATAAAAGGGTATATCCCAATATTCAGTATTTTAAAGCTTTTGGGCACATTTTTCAACCTAACTAGCTGTAATTTGATATGGGGGGTTCTCACAATATAGCAAATCTTCCTACCAAATATTATCAATATTTGACCACGTTTTAGCGTATCCCCAATATAACGCTCCATCATAAATATTTCGGTATTCTGGGGAGTTCCAACCTAATTGGCTGCTATTAAATTCAATATTTCGGTGCGTATTCTTTATTCTGGAGGGCACTCCCACATCTTTATAAATTAATTATTTCAGGCGACATTGCTTCCCGGGCTATTTTCAGGCTTCAAATTCTTCTTCGCTGTCTTTTTTTCTGTTTATTTTTAAGTTTGTGATCTCCAAAAAATCAAGCTGAGAAATTTGTGAAACCAAAGAGCCGGAAATATATTATTTGGAGTCGGAAAATAGTCTGAGAAGACTTGTCGTCTGAAAGGGTGTTTTGGTTTTTGGAGCTACCCAAATTTTGTCCAGCAAAAACACATTACTCCATAACTACAAATTTGGACTTATGGCGAATTTGACCATCTGTTTTCTTAATGTACTCGTCAGGGGTTGTCATCCCTATAATAAAAAACAGTAAGGAAAGTTCAAAAGTCGGGGCCGACTATATGATACCCTTCACCACTTTGGGTACATACAAGAGAAGCTAATATACAATACAATATCCTTTGAAATAGAATCGAGCGAAGTTAAATATGTGACCCACATAGATATTTGAATATATTAAAAACACATACCATTTTGAAATTTATGAAAAATCCATGTCAATCGGGGAGACTTGGATTCTTTGCTCTGTTTGTATGAAATAGAGCAAAATTGTTTCTTTATATATGTAAATTTGGACCTAATAGTTTAACCGTTGTTGTTGTCTCAGTTGGACAAATATTGGTAGTTTGGTGCACCATTTACATAAAATCGGACGAAAGTATATATGTGAGCTATATCTTAATCTTAACCTATTTCCACAAAACTTCTCAGACATTAAACTGGACCTATTTTAGTACGATGCGCAATATTTTGTCTCAATCGGATATTCCTTGTGAGTTTGGTGCACCATTTAGCTAAAATCGGACGAAACTATATATGGGAGCTATATATAAATCTGAACCGAATTGCAATAGGGTTCGTCTTTGGGCCAAATAAGTGATTTGTGCCAAATTTCATCCAAATCAGATTAAGAATGCAACCTGTACTTTGTTTACAATTTAAAATCAACAGACGGACGGATATGCATAAATCGACTCAGAAAGTGATTCTATGCATATTCTCAAAAAGAACTATGGTTCTATCTCCTTTCCTTTTGCCTGTTACAAACATATGCAAAAAAACTTGTAGGAACAGATGATCATAAGTCATCCATGATTTTGCTGATAACCCTTGGGTTTATACCACGTATTCGTATCTTCAATGCTGTCTCCATAGTGTTATTGTTCATCTCAATTCTAGTCCGGAGGTTTATTATAAATTCTGTTGGGTTTTTTCAAGTCAGTGTTCTATGGATTTCACAACAAAGCGGATATTCATTCGCTCGTTTGTTATTTACACATAAAAAATAAAAAGGCATAAATATAAATATCACCGCATGCTGGCAAAAATTTAATTATACAATTGAGAAAGACCTAAATAATAATATAATTTTTTTTGAATAAAAAAATGTTTAAAAATAAAATTATTTTTAAAATAATATGTGCAATATTCGTAATACGAAAAATTCAGTGCGGTAGGTATTTGAAATATGAAAGAAAAATATAAAGATATAACACATTAATAGAGATGCATTGTGGCTACATGTTGTGAAAATATTTGGGTTATCAAACTATTTAATATATATATATATATATATATATTAGGGCGGGCCGAAAATTTCGATTACATACAGTCCCTAAGATAATTCTATGAACAATTCTAAGCAACTTTGGTGAAGAAACCATAGGTCTATCTCGATTTTTGAGTCTCCCACTTTTCAAAAAATAATGTTTTCCCTATAACATCATTTTGATTCCATTTTTGATCAATTTTACCAAAAAACTTGTAATGCTTCTCAGAAAAGAGACGAAAAATAATTATAATATGTATGAAACGCCTTCTGACAAAGGCCATAGGTATTAATAAAGATCAGAAATGAATTTTTCGACCCCAAAAACCACCCATATACACATAAAAACCAGTAAGGAAAGTAGTAAAGTCGGACGGGGCCGACTATATGATACCCTTCACCACTATCTTCACCAGAACAATTAACATGAAATTGGATGAACTAAAATATGTGATATTTATGTGAATCAAAATATATCAATCTATTTGCATGTCATTTGTTTCTTACAATGGGACAAATGTTGGGCCGTTGGGCTATGTCTGTACTTCTAGAAAACCCAACTACGTTATTCTATGCTCAATTTTGTGCGTTGTGCAAAATTTCATGTCAATTTGACAAACACCATTTGCACCGTTTACTTAAAATCGGACGAAAATATATGTGGAATTTATATCCAAATATGAACCGATTTCAACAAAACTTGTCACAGGTTGGGTTATATTAATTTCAGTACGTTTTGTTCCTATCAACCATATATGGGTTCCTTGTTTCGTCAATTACTTAAAATCAATCGATCTATGCAATATTAGAACTTTGGTACATTATTTACATTAAATCTGACGGAAATATATATATCTTAATCTGAACCGATTTTCACGAAACTCAGCACACATCATTCCAGGCTCAATCCTGTATGCTATACCAAATTTCGTCCAAATTGAAAGATTTATAGGAACTTTTGTGAATCTTTAACATAAAATCGGACGAAACTATATATGGAAGCTATATATTAATCTGGACCGATTTTTACGAAACTTGGCATAAAGCACTCTAGGCTCAATTAAGTACGTTATGCCAAATTTGGTGCAAATCGAAAGATATATAGGGACTTTAGTGCATCATTTACATAAAATCGGACGAAACTATATATGGGAGCTATATCTAAATCTGAACGGATTTTCACGAAACTTGGTAGACATCACTCTAGGCTCAATTCTAGGCTCAGTATGTTATGCCAAATTTCGTGCAAATCGAAATATATATAAGGACTTTGGTGCACCATTTACATAATATCGGACGAAACTATATATGGGAGCTATATCTAAATCTGAACGGATTTTGACGAAACTTGGTAGACATCACTCTAGGCTCAATTCAGTATGTTATGCCAAATTTCGTGCAAATCGAAAGATATATAGGGACTTTGGTGCACCATTTACATAAAATCGGACGAAACTATATATGGGAGCTATATCTAAATCTGGACCGATTTTCACGAAACTTGGCAGACATCACTCTAAGCTCAATACAGTACGTCATGCCAAATTTCGTGCAAATCGAAAGATATTTAGGGACTTTGGTGCACCATTTACATAAAATCGGACGAAAATATATATGGGAGCTATATCTAAATCTTGACCGATTTTCACGAAACTTGGCAGACATCACTCTAGGCTCAATTCAATACGTTATGCCAAGTTTCGTGCAAATCGAAAGATATATAGGGACTTTGGTGCACCATTTACATAAAATCGGACGAAACTATATATGGGAGCTATATCTAAATCTGGACCGATTTTCACGAAACTTGGCAGACATCACTCTAGGCTCAATTCAATACGTTATGTCAAATTTCGTGCAAATCGAAAGATATATAGGGACTTTGGTGCACCATTTACCTTAAATCGGACGAAAATATATATGGGAGCTATATCTAAATCTGAACCGATTTTTCCCAATTTCAATAGGGTTCGTTCTTGGGCCCAATAAGTGAACTGTGCCAAATTTCATCCAAATCGGATCATAGATGCGACCTGTACTTTGTTCACAAAAATACATGGACGGACGGACGGACAGACGGACGGACGGACAGACATGCGTAAATCGACTCAGAAAGTGATTCTATGCATATTCTCAAAAGGAACTATGGGTCTATCTCGATTCCTTTTGCCTGTTACAAACATATGCACAAAGGCATAATACCCTGTACCACAGTGTGGTGAATTATGAGCGTATTGAATTATGAGACTAAAAAGTGTATTATAAGAAACAAAATTGAACGGGACACATTCGCTGTAGTAGTAGTTCCCTGGTACCACATGCATTTCACACATTTTATACCAAATTCGAATAAATTTTTATCCTTTGTTCATTATTTTATTTTATATATGTTTATTGTTGTTCTTGCAATGGATATATCATCAGTATTGGTTGATTGCGGCGAAGGTCAGTGGACTTGTGATAATGGCGATTGTATACCGATAGAAAAACATGGCAATGGCCCCGTCAAAAGGAACATAAATGCAATAGA